AGCATGCAATTAGGAAAAGGGGATTGAGTATGGTGTTTCTGACCATTACTTTTGTGCTCATCAAAAATGTTTTTTCTTGCCTCTAGGTTTAGACATAATAACAGGTCGAAGCATGCTCTGGTCCCAAGTCCCCCAATGCCTTTCTGTCAAGCACTACCGCAGCAAGAAGAAAAGACTCAAAGTTGTTCCCAAAATACCAAACCTGTGAACCAATTGGGAAATCAACATATTCAAAACTTCAGAAGATTCGAATAAAGAAAGTGGAAATTAGTGCTAAGACCCCAACAAACAGAATCTCATCTATTGAGGCAAATAAAAAGAGATGAGATAAGAGGGCAGGGGTTTGTTTTCAATGCTATCCACAACATATTCACCTTGAGACAGTTAAATTCGATTCATTTTTCTTCCTCTGCATGATTTTCATTGCCTATCTGGCTGACCAATGTCATCTGCATTAAAAACGTCATTATCTTTAATGAATGAGATTAGAATTATCCTGAAATGAGTCCATAAGAAGTGATCAAGTACGTAACGTGAATAAACTTGTATAAATTGATGGATAAATTAACTTATGCAAAATGGTTATTAGGAAAAATTATCTTGAGCTCGCCCTACAATAGTGTACCAAAAATGAAACAGAACTGTACTTTGGTTGGAGCAACGATAGAATATTCAAAATTAGCTAAAATAGCTAAACTAGCTTTCTAGGTTATATTCAGGAGTACTTAAATCACAGGTGAGGTGACCAGGTTTAACCAATGGCCTTAACAGTTAAATATCATCACAGGAAATTCAGGAGCAAAAAGTGAGGAAAGAGCTGACCATTATCTCCTGTGTGTGTTGGGCTATCTGGAAGGCCATTCTGAGGTTTGCAAGTGAATCCAATGCCTGTCATAACACAAGCCTCAACTGGAGCCGCAAAGTTTTTTGAAAGTACAAGAATCAGTGGTTAAATCAAAGCCGGAAGAACACTTGAGGAAACCCATAGATAAATGCACTTTGCTCCTACCAGAGGAATCAGTCAAAAATGTCGACTTGGATGGTGCTTGTGATGCGGGGACAGAAATAATCACTACAGATTGTCTCGCCTGTGTGGTAAGGGGCCTGGACCGGAGCTTTACTGCCTCATTAGCAGTAGTTGCATTGTTGGGGTTGATGACTGCACCCCCTTTCTTTAAGTCCACAAGTATCTGCATCGAATGAGGGACGAGCTTCAATTCCTCTGGAACAACAGCTTCATTAATTTCCTTCTTTCTCTCCCCAACATGAGGCAACATGCAAAGCCCTAACCAACAACAATAGGAAAACTCAATTGAAGTCTAAGAAACCAATCATGTGGAATTAACACAAACAATCACAAATATAAATCACTGAATTCCACCCACGGGCTTGAGAATGTCAGCTTGTAAGAAGGATGCAAATCCTTATCATCCCAATCACATTTGAATGCTACTGTCCTTTCCCTTTGGAGGATTGATCGATTGGTATCTTCCTGCACATACCCATGCCTCTATACCGAGGTCTTCATCCTGGTGGCATTACTAGGTGGACTCCGCAGCTTTTCACAGCTTTGCTAATACGCACAAAATGAACTCGGATTGTAGGCAAATAAGGCGGCATCACCCATGTTCTTTTCACATTTCTTTTCATGCGTTCAATCTCCCAAAAAGGTGCCCTCATCCACATCAAAGTATGGAAAGGGATATATAACAGCCACACTGAACTCGAGTCTTTCCCTGTTGAATGAATATTATCAGGGCATACTTCATTGACGTATATATCAATAGCAAACTCCCTGATGCTGGATTTAGCATCAGAAAGTAACCTATTTTTGGTCTTTTCGAGAAAAGCACAAATAGAAATTCCTTTGTTCTCCCAATTGAAATTTTGAGGGATTTTAATAGAGAATTGACATTCGCAAAGATCCTTCAAATCCTTACGATAACTGAACCACTTTGGAATTCCCCTTCCTGGAAATTCAACCTCGACACCCAATGGGAGAGACAAGAGAAAGAGAGAGAAGAGATTGACTTGATTTATGAACATATTTTTCTTCTTTGCAATTCGAACCAGATTGTTACGCAGTCTCCAACAATTAGTCAATTTCATTTCAGTGAACATTTGAGACTCTTTACGTTCCAAAATGTTGGACAATTTTGAAACTCTTTCCAATGATAAGCAATCACTCACATCTAAAATTTCCAATGCTTGTGGAAGATCTGGAATTTCTCTAAGTCTCTTGCAACTAACCAACCGAAGAGCAATCAAGTTGACAAAGTTATTAATGCATACGGGAAGACTAACGAAATTGCTTCCTGATAGATCAAGTCTAGTTAATGTGGTCATGCAATGAAGAGTCAGAAGGAAATCGGCAATGTCTGAAAGATTGGATCCCCCCACATAGAATTTAGATAGCTTGGGAAACGCTAAATTGCCTCCATGAAGAGTCACAAGTGATTCTGCACTCCTTGAATCTTCAGACTTCGCCATTTTAGGAAATGAAACCAATTTTGAGCATTTACGGACAGAAATTTTCACTAGGTGCTTCAACTCATAAATGCTGCATGGCAGATTTGTAAGGTTTTCACATCCGGTTAAATCCAATTTCTCGAGACGAGTGAAATGTCGAATTGACGATGAAGGCAATTCTTTGATGGAAGTCTCTGATAGATCCAGGTATTTCAAAGATTCCATCTTCCCCTTAATTTCAGGAAAATTCTCAAGACTTATGCAACCTTCAAGATTCAACTCCAGCAGAGATTTCAAGTTGACAATTCTTGGAAACAGAGTAAGACTACGGCATCCCGTAAGACTCAACTTAACAAGCTTATGAAGGAATCCAGCAGAAGGATGAAGCTCATCTAAACTTGTACAATAGTTTAGATTCAAAAGCTCCAAGTTTGGGACTCCAGAGAAGTCAGGGCTTTTTCTTAGGAATTTGCTGTGCTCCACATTTATAAATGTCAAACTCTGTCCCACAAAACAGGGAGAAAAAGAGAGAAGATCGCATCATAAGCTTTAAAGAAACTTACAACATGCTAAGAAGAAAGAGAAAAAAATGAACTCCTGAAAATACCAGTCATTTTAAATACCTTGAATTCCGAATCCAGTCGTAAAATGCGGCTGCGAGGCAAAGTAAGACCAACAAGTTTCTTTGGATTAAAATTGGCTGGCAAAGATTGTGACGGATATTCAGGCCAGCTAAGGAGCCTCAACTCATTGGGAAGATAATGAACTTCTCCAGACAAGCGCGCATTATGATTTATAAAAAGTCGAAGATTTTTCATCTTTGAGAAGCTTTCAGCATTCAAACATACCTCATCTGACTCAAGCCCAGCAGGCAACTTCACCATAATACCTTTGATCTTATCCGTTCCCTAGTATGAAAAAGCAATACTATTAGCAAAGGACAATTTTTTTGTGAAATAAAAATAAAATGTTTTAAATTCTATATTCTACTTACTGTGTTTTCTGTTAAAACATGGTAAACATCCTCATGAAACCACAACCTACTACGTTTTCCGGGCTCAGTAGGCGACTCTTGGCGAACTACTTCTTTACCCATTTCTTGTATCAAGTCATGCATCCAAATGCGGCCATCTTCCGTAATATTTATAAGAGCCTTTTCCACAAGTACTTCAAGATCATACTTAGGGTTGAGGTCACAACCTTCTAGTATTTGTATCACATAATCCTCGCATAGACCTTTACAGAAAAATGCAATATCAAGGAAAACTTCCTTCACCGCATCTTCTAGTGCATTATAACTTATTTTGAGAATTTCTTGAATCGCTCGGTTAGGAACTCTTCTGTAACCATCTAATGCATATTTCCATTGATCTATACTTCTCCCGCATAGATGTGAACCCAAAACCATCAGAGCTAATGGAAGACCGTCAGCATAGTCTACTACATTGTTTGCAAGTTTCGCATAATCATCTTCTAAGTGCCCATTTCTTGAAAATGAATTCCAACTGGTGAAGAGCTTTAAGGACTCATAATGATCTAACTTCTCAACCTCATATATTAGATTGACTTTATGAGCAATTAGCAAATGCTTATCTCTTGTCGTTAGAACAATTCTGCTGCCTGAACCAAACCAATCAGACCCTCCAACTAATTTGTTTAATTGGTCCAATTGATTCACATCGTCAAGAACTAAGAGAAGCTTCTTACCATTCAACATTTTCTTTATCACATTGATTCCTTTGTCAACATTGGTTAACTTTACTTCTTTCACCCCTAGAATCTCAGAAAGAAGAATACTTTCTAGTTTGACTAAGCCTCCATACGGCATTGATCTTTCTCTAACATCATCTAGAAAACAGCTACCTTCAAACATATGGGCGATGGAATTATAAACAGCTTTAGCAATTGTTGTCTTACCTATTCCACCAGTGCCCCATATCCCTACCATGCGAACATCATTTCCTCCAACGCCCAAAAGCTTATCTATCTCGCGCACACGAGGCTCTATTCCAACTGGGTACTTTGCTACATTCAAATACGCATGGTTTAATACTTGTAATGAAATCGCTTCAACGATGTTGTGAATAAATTTTGATTCATGCCTGCAAGGTTATACAATATGCGAAAGATTAATGATGAATAACATTTTGTAATATTATATATATATATATGTATGTGTGTGTGTACAACTCACTTCTAAAAGGAATCCCCTTTTGAATATTTACAAAAATGGATCACAGGTTCGGATAACATGAGCCGTTTATTTTTAAGGACATTATTCAAGGATCACTCTTATAAAAAATTACCAAAATCCGTTCATCAAAAAATTACCAAAATCCGAAATATTTAGTCATCTAAAAATGCGGCAACAAATAGATTAATACAACCTTTCCTCTACAAGATGTTCATGGTAATAATCAAATGGTACGATTTCAGATTTTGCTAATTTTTTTGCAGGGATAATTCTTAATTTGGGGATCGAAAAACTAGACAGTTTGTATGTATAAGGATCAGGTTCAAAGTACACACAAAGGCCACATCTTTAAACCTTGGATGTTCAAAAGCATTTGACATTAAAAGCAATGCCTTTGTATATACAAGATCAGAAATAAACAAGTTCAGTAAGCAGCTAAGGTGCGTGGTTGAAAATAAATATATACCCGTTAATGAAACACCATCCGGACAGATTGGCTGCTTTCGTAAGACTTCTCCTCCATCTTTGCACCTTCTCCATGTCATCTTTGAACTCGCATTCATAGTCAGCAAGTGCCTGACCGAAACTGCCCCTTTGATGCCGTACATCCGACGGATCCACCTTGTAAAAAACAGGCCAAACTATTTGCTCCCTTGTTTCTTTACTCTCAAGGATCTTGACGAGTTCATCCAAGCACCACTTCGAAGATGCATAGTTTTCGGAGAACACTATGATGGAAATGTTCGACTCTTCAATCGCTCTGAGAAAGGCCGGTGATATTTCTTCCCCTCTCTTAAGACCATCATCGATGAAGGTTCTAATTCCCTTCCGAGTCAAATTACTGTGCAGATGATCAGTAAAGTTGAATCGCGTGTCCTCGCCTCTGAAACTCAGGAAGACATCGTATGTCATTGAATGACCGTCGTTTGATTGCGTGCCGGAGAAGTAAAGAGGCTGATCAAAGAGCTGGGAAGGGCATGGCCTCTGGGTTTCTTTTAATTTAATAAGAAAGCATCTTATGAGCGAGGGAAGCTGCGAGCTTCAACTTCCTTTGTGAGAACACAGCGAAGTCGATGAAGGTGAAGGGAAGACAAGGAAAGGAAAGGAAACAAAGAAAGAGGAAGGGCCAGTGTTCTTTCGTTGAAACTTCAAACGTCTTTTCCAGTCCATAACGACAAAAGCTCATACTCGTAGTGGAAAAATCTAAAACGACAAAAGCTCATACGCGTAGTGGAAAAATTTCGAAACGACAAAAGCTCATACGCGTAGTGGAAAAATTTCGAAACGACAAAAGCTCATCGGCGTAGAAGTTGGTGTGTTTCAGTGTTGTCCTTTAATTCTACTTTAAACTTTTTCTTTTTCTTTTTTGAATACAAGCGATAGTCTAATATACAAGGGCTACAAGGGGAGCGGAGTTTTTGCTTTTTTGAATACAAGCGATAGTCTAAGATACAAGGGGAGCGGAGTATTTGCACACACACTAACAAGGTACCACTGAAGTTCAAACCCCCATGTTGGCAACTTTTTCTTTTTCTTTTTGAGTGGATTTGTTGATGAAAAAGACAACTAAGAAAGCCACAAAGATTATTTTACATTGGTAGCCATTAATTCTTTATCGTCTTTAACTTCCATACAAATGGTTTGGGAAGCAAATCATTTCTTGTCCAATATATCTGACATTCATACTGAAAGAGTGAATGAATATAGCAATTCTGTGTGTATTTGCACGCACAAATAACTGACATTAGGACCAATATAAATATGGTTTCTCAAACCAGAACTTTTCATATTATCTTTATTTATACACAAACTAAATTGGACGGACTCACAGGGATCCGAATCCAGAGTCTTTGTGGGTAGCACCTGCCCACTATCAGCAATCACATCTTTGGGAAATTGTGGTAAAAAGGTTTTCTCCAGTAGCTTCCGGCTTTCGACTTGCTGTCATACCCTTGCTTCCTTTGCTTCACTGTACAGTTTATCAATACGGTCCTGCAGATGATATTCCAAAAAAATAAAAAACTTAACATTCACTTGACGAAGTCAGCTTTTACTATTTGAGAGAGAGAGAGAGAGAGAGAGAGAGATTTATTTATAGAATGAGGGAGACCCGTTTATGGCATAGCACTTGATCATTAGCAATAGAAATTCATTTCTTTTAAGAAATAATCCAAGGTCACAGCCGCAAGGGTGGGGAAAGGATATTAAGCGAGTGGCAAACTGAAGGCCTACCGGGTGCTTGAAAAGGAAGTCGCATAGTTACTGTGAGGAGATTTAAGACAAGATATAGAAAGAGAGAGAAGAAGGCATACCTTGTAATATTTAAGTAGGTGTGGTCTCTTCAGTTTGAATGTTGGAGTTATAAGATCCCTCTCCATGTCAAAGGGATTTGGTTCCAAGTGAACTGCTTTTAACAGCTCAAAACCTCGAAGCTGCAGGAAGGTCACCCAAGTCAGATTGAGTAGACATTAACAAAGCATCGAATTAGAAACAGGGAGTTGAGACAATTATCTACATACTTGCTGCTTCTGACCAACACTATTGAGCTCATCCAAAATGTATTTTCTTGCCTTCAGGTTTTGACATAATGATTTAAAATCATCGGTCAAATGATGCTCTGCTGCCCAATCCTCCAATGCCTTTCTGTCAGGGACCACCACAGCAACAAGAAATGACTCAAAGCTGTTCCCATAAACCCAAATCTGCAAACCAGAGGAAAGTTCAGATATCCACAACTTTAGAAAACAGGAAAACAACCAAAAGGAAATTTTCACAAATTAAAATGTAGTAAAAAGATCAAAAATACAAACTCATCAATGGAGGAAAACAGAGGCAAGTCCTAATGTATGGAAATAGTTCTACTTCTATTGGATGTAGTAACAATCAACGTACCGATGTGATAAGAGGGCATTGCAGGTATTTGCTTTCAATGTTTTCCACAGCAACATATTCACCTTGAGACAGTTTAAATATATTCTTTTTCCTATCTATAATTTTCATTGCTCCGTTAGGCTGCAATTCTCCAATGTCACCTGCAATCCACTCAAAGTCAAGAAATAACACCTTTTAATGCAACAATTAACCATCAACAAAACGTTCTAACATGCATAGTGGTGACATCTTGACAAGCCAAAAGACTGACCATCAAGCAAGTAAATTATTTCATTCAACTGTATGGCTAACTATTGTAAGAATTTTTACCAGTATGAAACCATCTATCAATAAGGACTTCCTCTGTCAGATCTTGTCGCTTGTGGTAACCAGAAAACAAGGATTTTCCTCTCAGGCAAATCTCTCCACGTGGCATACTGGAAAGTGCATCATATCCCATTTCTGGCAGTGACTCAAGCCTTGTTTCAATAGTTGTCATGAGGACACCCACAGTTCCCATCATAGGAAAAACATTGCCAATAGACGTAAGACATCCACCACAGCTTTCAGTGAGGCCTACATGTCAAAGAGCTTAACAAGCTGATGGAAAGCTCTTTTTTTAAGGAAAACTTTTATAAACTACTGTTGATGTGTTGTGCGTCAAAATTCAAAAAGCTCGCATCGCTGACTAGAAAATCTTGCATACATGGTACATCCTAGATCATGCATATATAGTTGTAATTGTAAGTAAATATCTTAACCTTATAAATTTTCCTGTATTTTCAAAATTATGCTTTAGATTTCATCAGTTAAACAATTAATACCAGCTTCTTCAAAGATGAGAATGAATTCATACTAGGTCAAGTCCGCATCACAATGTCTTTTCTTTTTTCTTGGCCAAATATAAAGGTCACTGCAAAACCTATGAAGACTACCTAACACCATTTATATGATTCTATACATTTCCTAGACGACTTAGCAGATATTCATCCAACCATACCATATCCTTGTGACAAAGTACTGCAGGCGGTGACCCTAAAAAATTCCTCCACATGCCTAGGCAAAGGTGCAGCACCAGACAACAGTATACGAACTCGTCCCCCTAATGCTTGTTTTATCTGCCACAAGTAGCACTTTGTTAGAATGTAAAACAGCTATTTCAAGAACGGAATGGTGAAGGATGGGATGACTGACCTTATCAAAGACAAGCTTGTCCAAGGGAGGTGCTGCGTTTTCTTGTGGCAGACCCTTCTCCAGATTTGCCAACTTGCTGTCAGTTAAATCTTCATTAGTTTTATTGTAGAGATGCAAATGCAACAAAAATATTTCCATTTTATCATCACTCATACTAGTTATAAGCATATTGGAACAGCATCTTCCTAAGCATATTGGAACAGCGTCTTCCTCAACACACCACTAGATGAAACTTTATTAGCAATACCTGCACGAAGAAAATTTAAGCCAAATATTTAGAATAACAAAATTCAAGGACATATATCTATATAGGTCAGTATAATGCATGCATTACCAGTGTATATGCGATCATACACTCTGGGAACCCCGCAAAACATAGTAGGCCTTAGTTCCTGAAGGTCCTCCATTAGAAATCTGATATCCTTCAAGTTCAAAGTAAAAAATCACATTGGGAACAAGTTGGTAATGCACCAAGAGAACTTTTGCCAGAAACATATAAGTGTAAGAAAAAGAAATCACTGCAATAAATTACTTTTATTACTTACTCCTCGCCAGAAGCCTATAGAGGAACCCTTGTAGATGCAATAGCTCTCCATAATTTGATCATATATATGGGCCAAAGGAAGGAAGGAAAAATACGAATCTTCTTCTGTACACTGAAATAATCATGTGATCAATTTCAGTGTCAATGTCATATGATTAGCACGAGGAAATAATCATTGAGTTCAATTGATAAACTTAACAACAAATCATGTTCTCAACTTTCTAGTGGTAATACTTCCTTGTAATCACAGAACTTGGAAAGAGAAATCAAAAGTTTAAAAATAAAAAATAAAAACCCAAAGAAAAGTGCAAATAAAAGGCAGCATAATCATTAATTTGGAAACTCCAATGATATATATCGTAAAAAGGCTAGGAAACTCATTTATTATGGAAATAGTAAACTATGTTCAGTTGTTTACCACTTTATCTGTTAGAAAAAGTATTTGCTCCACAGACAATACTTCTGCCATAATTGCTCCATTAGTAATAATAACACCTTTTGGTTCTCCAGTTGTTCCACTTGTGTACATTATAGTGCAAATGTCAGTCCTCTGTTTTGGAGGTAGTTCACAATCTAAATTTCCCTGAAAAAAGATGAGGAAAGGTGGTTTTACATTATTGAAAACCATTTTACCAATCTTTTACCAAAAAAGAGAATTTATATGAGAAAAACAGTGTTAACAAATTACCAACTGAGAGAATTCCTCCCAAGAAAAACAAGATACCCCCAGTCCTTCAGCTTCCTCCTTTTGAGTGCTAGAAATATTTGCAAAGCTGACAATTGCTGAACAAAGCAAATGCATGACTGAGATACCATCCTTTGAATTTCACCTTAAATTTCAAGTCTTTAAGGAAATAGCATATGACCTACTTTTTAAATGCGTAGAGCAATTTGGAAGGCATGACAGAATCTGCACAAATCATTTCGATATGAGCAGGACATTATGAAACAAGAGAAAGAGAGCCAGAAACAACTAAAATACCATATATTTATTAAACTAATGAGGGTCAAAATACACAAAGGCAAGCTCGTCTTTATATTTATATTGAGGTTTGGTGCCATGGAATTGGATTAGGAAGATTTTAGTACCACGGTATCAGAAATCAGTAGCCTTGAACATTTAAGTAATCATGATGATCCTATAAAGAAAAGGTACTCATGATCATGAGGAAATAGATAGAAAGATAACTTACAGCAGGGATCTTGTTCTCTTGAACAAAAGCTATGGAAACTTCAGCATGATTGATGATGAATTCAACTGCATTAGCACCTGTTATATGTAAAACCATGAAAAGTTAATGTGATTTATTTAATCGAACTCGACCACCATCATTGAAGTCCAATTGCTACTGGAAATTATATTGCGGAAGAAAATGTATAGAAACTCTAAAACTCATGGTGATATAAGCACTGATGATCATTGACAAAGAGAGAGAAAACATACCAAGGGTGTCATACAGTGGAACATAGGTTATGGCATGGCTATTACAGGCCTGTAAAACATCAAGAAAACATAAAAGCATTA